ATGCTACCAGACAAGAGAACATTTCTAGACTACAGGAGCTGATATATCCAAGGGTCTGTGCAGCTCCAGGAAACTAGAAGTCTAGCTACAATTTGGCCCTAGAGCAGTTTGCCTGCAGATGTTACTCTAGAGTTGCTGTAGCTTCTGGGGCTGTAAATGTCCCTGGAGTCATTCCAGCCCTGCACTTTTGCCTGCCATAGTCTGTATGGATGGTCCCAGGACAGCATACTTTTAGGTTGCACCAGAGCTCTAGGTTAATTAATCTGTTAAGGAATTAAATAAATAAAATGTCAGAAAATGTAGTTAGCACATAAACTTCAAAATTTACCCGTGTTTCATTGGGAGTTTAATCAAAAGTGACACATTTGCAAAATCTTTCCTTTTCAAAAACTGGCTTTTTATAATGAAAAAGCGTTCCAGCTCGTTACATGCAGTCAGATCTAGATGGAGGAATACCTTCAAGAAAGTATAGTAATAATGTAAAGCATGAAGATGTATAAAATTCATCAGTTTCTTTTGTAATATGTTGTAGTAAGTCCACAGTTAAAATTTTAATTTTACACTTTATTTAACTTTGTATGACTTAAGTTTCCTACAGTAGTTTGTTTATCTGGTACGTCAAAGAGCCTTTTAATATCTAGCATTTTCTGTCTTTGAAGGTACTTGATGCTGTAATCGTCTCCTCTTGATCTTCTTTCCAGTAGTGTAAATTGATCAAGTTCCTTAAAGTGTCTTTGCTATAACAGGTTTTGTTCACAATGAAGAAAAAATTATTTCAGATTGATGGAAAACATTTTTATCAATGTCACTTTCTTATGAATGACTCTTTAACAGGTATCTGTCATATGACATATACTGAAAAAAATATTTTCCTTCTTTCAATGATCCAGTTCAGTACCAATGAAATCAGTTGGTGAGGCTTTACTTTCTTTCTGCATTCACAGTGAAGCATTCAAAGAACTGTCAGAAAGTAAATCTGGGTTTTAGGCACCACTTTTCCCACCCTGTTATTAACCCAGGTCATGTCTAACAACATAAAAGATTTAAGTGATTGGCCTTCTTGTTTTCTTCACCCTTAGAAACCCAAGTTTCCAGTTGAGATACCGAAGGTTTGAGAATCAAAGGAAAACTGACAATATCTGCAAAGATGTCAACCATATCAACATTAGAGTAACTCTACTTCTACTGATTTTTCTAGGTATAAAGATTTGGCTGATACAGCAGCAGGAGAGAAGAAGTTGTCTGCCAAGGAGAAATGTCGTCTTGTTCTTCAGCAGTGTAAATTACAAGGCTGGCAGGTTTGTGATCTACAAAGCAATTAAAATATCGTTCTTTAAACAAGCTAGCTGAGTCATTTCCATTGTGGCAAGCCACCAGATCCTTTGCAGCGGTATATTCTTTTGACATTTAATATATGCTTTGGGATAGACTCAAACTGATTTTCTGCATTTTCCAGCATACAAGTAGCTGTGATCATTGTGTCAAAAAATCAGTGTATTCTTGTGGGAAGGAAAAGATTTCAGTTATGCATGTACACTACGTAAATTTGAATCCAGGTTTTTAAAGGTATCTGGTGTACAGATTTTAGTGGTTGAATGGTTTATGAATTAAAAAAAAAAAAAATAACAACTCTGCACATTGTCTTTATGCAAAATCCTATGCTAAAATACTATACTGTTAGAACACGGGAGACCCAAAACAACTGCTTAGGACTTCTCCGCATGCTGAGTCAGAGATAGACCAAAGTACCTAGAGTTGCTGTATATCAAGTAAAGTAAAAATTAATAAGCCAAACACTGAACTGGAAGCTCTCAACTTCCTATCCCATCTCTTTACCCTATTTAATCTTCACCGGCATGAGGATTGCAAGGTGGATGTCTCCATTTGTACAGAATACTCAGTCATCTCCTTTGGGTAGCTTTGTAATAGAGCAGGACTGATATCTTTAACATATGCAATTTCTAAAGAAAATGGTATTTCCCTGCACACTATATAAGCTATTGTACAGAAAGGAAGCTTTCTGTGACTTAACATATAGAGCATTCTCCCAGGCAGTGTGAGCTTCAGATTCAGGTCTTTTCCCAGCCTAGGAGGACTGAAGTCTATTCAACAAGAGAGCATCCAGACCAGTTTCAGGGACAAGTATGAAGTTTAGGGACTGGACAGTGGCTATGGCACTCCTATAGTCTGCTTTGGGGACGTTAGTTTAAAGAAACAGGTTAACAGAGGTCTTCTAATTCTTGTGTGACCTCTAAGGATTAGGATGCCCAGAAAAAGTTTCTGCAACTGTCTGTGAAGGGCAAGGACTATGTTGGACTTTGTGCTATGGGTGTTTCTCAGTGGCCCAGATTCCTTAGTTATAATAGGAAAAAAGGTAGGCCCCTCGCTAGGTAGGGAGCACACGTGCATGATCACCTGCACTTGGATACATAAGATTTTTTTCCGTGGTCAAAATAATGTTTAAGTCCCCTCTTAGTCACTAAAGTAAGTAGTTGGCACATACAGCCCCACCCCCTCAATAGCAAAGAGCAGAAAGATGGACCCTGAAAAAGTTAACATTAAAATGGACTTGATTTCCCTACTCAGGTTTCTTTTTTTTCCCTACTCAGGTTTCTTAAGCCAGCTCTGGGGTATATTCTGCATCCTTGCCACAAGATTCCCTATAAAAAACAGTCATTAACATTTAGAAAATGTACCTTCACTTACAAATACCTGAAGCTGAGAGTGCCCCTAACCTTCAGAACTTGCGTGGGGCTACAGGCTTGACACTGAGTGAAAGCTGTGTAACAGTAATTGCATATTGTGCTCCAGTCACAAAACACAGAGCAGGATGCCTATGGAGTTTATTTCCCTAAGAGCCAGTAACAGCATTACAGCACGAAAAAAAGCAATTTATTGTCGGTGAAAGCCTACAGCTCAAAACTAGTGGGTCAGTCGTGATTGGCATTTGAAAACAAGCCTGAAACCTTGAAAGACAAAAGGAAATTGCAGAACAGAATCCCTCCCTCATGCAGGGGACTGGAGCTTGTGATCTCAAACAGATTTTAGATGTTCTGACTCCAGAATCTCATTAACACCATGAAAAGTCAGGTGTGCAAAACTACAGCAATATATAATGCATTGTCCTTCAAACCAGAAAGGAATAAAACTCTAGAGATGATGAGAAGTTAAATAGGAGGGTTTGGTGGTGAGAGTTGTCGTTCAGTGACTAAGAAGTACATGGCAACAGACTAAGCTGAAAGGAACAAGGTCTGAAAAAATTAGTGACCTTCTCCTTACACTTTCTTCAAGACACAGAGAGCTATGACAAACAGATGGGAAGATGATGATAATGGAAGAAAAATCTAGGAGAAAATGCATTCTAAGTCCAGACAATTACTTACAGACAAATGCCCAGTGAATAACACTTTTACACCAACATGTTTTGTATAGGTGATACAAAACCATATACCCAACTATCAACAGCAGTGACTAATGTCTGTGTCACATCATCTCTCTCTCTCAATTATCTTCTTGATTCGTTTGACTAATTGTGAAAGTTGAACTTTAAATGACAATCTAAATGAGGAAGCTTATACAATCTGCAGTTGTCATGGATGCCCTCTATGGTCTTACAGCAGAGGATTCTGAAAAAAGAAGAAAAAATTTAAAAGGGAGAAGGAGGGGGAAGAAAGGGAAGGAAGAGCAATTAGGAACCCAGGGTGATGTCAGCTAGCAAAGAGAGAGGAAAGGAGTAATCTGTAGTACATCACTAAAAATCATCCAAGAAGTAGGGGGTTACACATATAACTAGTTTATTCAGCCACTGTTGCCAGCAGTAACTACTTCAAATGAGTCACTGCTGGAACTGAAAATCTATTTGATGCAGGGGTTCATGAATAAGTCAAAAAATGTCTTCCCCAACACTGTTACCTGCACTTCCCTGAAGTGCTGTTGCAGATTCGGGTAGATAAATTGACCAAAAAAATAGATATCTAAAATATCCACATCAAAGATGATGACATTTAGGAGAAAGCAACACACATCTGAAATCAATCTCCTGCTTATATGTCATCATCAGAGGATGAGGTTGCCAATAAACTCCACAGCAGAAGGGGAAAAAGAAAGATCTGGACCTTATAGCTGAGTGAATCTGGATGATACTTTATTTAACCTACTTCTGATAATGTACCTTAAATATCTCATTTTGTGGAAGGTGATATTAACTTGGGATAGGGGAAAGTAAATGTGCATTCTGAAGTGAGACCCCAAAAATTAGTAAAGAAAATTGTTTCTTTGTATTTATTTCCTTCTTGACAAATTATCTTTTCTTTCTTACATAAGTTATGTTTGGACAGTGTTTTATTAACCAACAAAACAAAAAAAAACCCAGAACCTACTCAGAGAACAAGTTCTTTCTCCCCCTGTAAGTACTGCAGTCTGTCTGAAAATGGAGAACAAGTACAGAAGATCCAATACCAGAATCCAATTTTGGTTTATTTTCTACTATTTAGTAGAGCATAAGAGCAAACACTATCAGCTAGCCAACGTCTGGAGCTTGAGTCAGCAGCTTCTGTGTTAGAAGAAAGTATTTATTAGGGAAGTGTTGATAGGTTTATGAAATGTTGCTGTTACTTGGGTAAGCTGAGCTGGAGATAACTAAACTAGGACAATAAAATAGCTGTTTCATTGAAGCAGGCATACCATGCAGTTTCAGTCACGCACTTAGCTTAACTACTGAAATTATAAAAGTACAGAGCTATTAATGAAAGGCAGTTTTTGCATCCTGACTCTGTGCACCACCTAGATAAGGTGTTCTTTCAGTTTAAATATATACTTGATCATGACAAGCTTAGCTACTTGCTGTGACTTTTAAGCATACCCAGTGTAAGAGAAAATCAGATTTCTAAATCAAAACAAACCATTTCTACTCCAGACAGAATGAAAGTAATAGACTTGTTTAACCTCTGGAGAAGTCAGTGAGAGTTTTGTTATTAATGATAGAAGGAGCAAGATGATGTGTAGTAACTTCAGAGTCAAACTGAGTGGAACTCAGTGGAACTCAACTGCTCCATGTAAAGCAGGAGAATCTCCTGCCCTCCAGAACATCTGAAGGCCTTTACATTAGGAAACCCGCATTTTCAGTGCTGTGTTCATATATTGTCGTGCAGTGATGTATTAGCTAAGCAAAGCCTGCGATCCCAATAGCATGACTAGTTTGCAAGCATTATCATGCTTTGGGAGAAGTACAGGGCACAAACAGTCCTTGGCTTTTTTTTACTGACATAAGGAAACTCATTCGTTTGGATTATCAGTCCTCACGCTGTTAAGCTTGCAAATATAAATTCAATAAAGAAGAGTTAGCTCATAGCTTACTGAGCTTTCTCAACAAAACTTGGAGCTTTTAATTTTGTTTAGCTAAGGTCAGTGGTCTGCAATTAACCCTTCTCAGTTCGGATAGAGTTTGCCGAAATGCAAACAACTTGTATTATACCAGAAGTAAAACAACACATAAATGTAATTTGCTCTTGCTATGCAGTACAAGCAAAGGCCAGACTTCACTAAAAGTGAATCTCCAGCCTTTGACTACTAGAAGTGCTTGTCTGGTTAAAATATAGGAATCCTTAAAAATGTCTAATAAATGCTTTGTCTTAGTTTACCTTTCCAATTTTTAGCCTGCTTCTTCTAATCCACAAAGATTCCTTCTTGTCAGTAGCCTTCAGTTCGGAACACAAGAGATCACTCATTTTGGAAAGAGTAAGACGAGTCTTAAATTTGAGTGGGATGATCCAAAGACTCATCAGATATGAAATAAGCAATACAGAAAAGTCAGAATGTTTTCGTGAGGCTCCAGTTCAGCATCAGACAGTTTCATGAGATAGACATTTTGTTAGTGCCAGGTCACGTTTTTACAACTACAGACACTGCTGGGGTTGTTCAAGGAGCCTGAAGTGTTCCTGGAGAGATCATCCTTGCCAGTGTGGAGCTATATTATTAAACTTCTTCCACTCAAAAAGAATGTTAAAACAGAGAATAAGTCCTCAATAATGGGAAATCCCAGAAGTCCCTCTAGAGATTTTAAATTCTTCTAACACTTCTAGAACTGCAGAAAGAAAAGGAAGAGTCTGACCCACAGTTCTTAACAGTCAGAAAGAGAACCATATTTCATTACTGACCTACAGGTGTTTCATTTATTGTATTTGATACAGCTGTCTTTAAGTATTTTTTATTTTAATATATTGATATACAATATTAGCATAGCAGAGTCCTTTTTGGGGAAACTATATTTACGATTAAATAGAAGAGTATAGAATGTAAG